AGACCAGAAATGTTAATGCGCCGCTAAGATGTATTTTTCTTGAGTGATGCGTCCCGCGAGAGGGGCTGGCCTGTGGCTTTCGGGGGCTTTCGAAGGCAGGACGCTTCGCACGTCGCACTCAAAACAAGAGGCTGGGGGTGGGCGGGTGGGGGCTGAAAAGCATCTTTATGCGCCGGCAAAAACAAGCCCCGGGCGCATCCTTGCCGGGACGTGCCGGCGGTTTCAGGAGGGAAGGTTGGGGTGGGGGAGATGCTGGCATCAAAGAACGAGGTGTTGACACGGGCCCTTGACGTCTGAGATGTTAAACGACGAGCTAAGATGACTTCAGAGCGGAGTGCAAAACAAATCGCAGAACCATTTATAAGACGGAGCATTAGAGGTGTTGGGCTCACCCCCGAATTTGCCTTCACTCTTTAATGCTCACACTGGGTTTTTTCTGTTACTTATACAAGTCATTTATTCATACACCGGGGAACAGGGGGATTTTAGTTGAACTCCAGCATGTTTTTAAATGATTTTTTAGCGGTTTCACAATCTATAAAGACTTTACATCTTAATGTCTTCCTCCTGACACGCACACACAATCACAAAGATCATACATCAGTTACATTTATACACACAACATATGTGGCCCAATGAATGGCGAGTAAGCAATGAGATCGGGCCGAGTTTTGAAGCGCAGCTTAACTTGGGTTAAATCGCTTCATTCCCAAAGTACCCCGAGTCCCAAATGCTGCTCAGCAGCAAAAAGCAGCACAAATCAAAGGACCTCAGACATCTGCGATCCTCCACACAATATAATCCAACAATTCATGCACTTTTTTCCCCCTGGGTAAATTCTAAGGACAAAAATGTGAGTCTTTAAAGGAAACGCAGACCAAACGCTTCATTATGTTATGCTCAGGAAGAAGCATGTTGACCAGCAGGCCTCCAACGCTCACGTCTGCACTGCTGTCCTTCCCGTTGACTGGGCCCCTCCTGCCACCAGGCCTTCCTAAAGGTCCTGGGGGAGGCTATTACTTCAGGCAGGCCTGGGCGGCCCCCTTTTATGGGCGGCGTTCAAGGGCGAGTAACTGTCTGCTGAGGGCACTACAAACTGACCCCAGGAATGACAAGCGAAGGCCAAGGTCTATTTTATCCGTTTCCACCAAATGACGTGAGGCAACCATTCTGTAATGTCTGCTTAACCAAAAAAAAAAAACAGGAGGCAGTAGGGGAACTGCAACAAATCGTGTTACCATTTAATTATTTTTTGTGATATTTGTGTGTGACTGTACTCATGTTCACCATGTAAGATTTAAGAACAAGAAAATCTGGCAGTTGGGTTGGAAACTCATCAGTTCTTGCGTTTTGTCAGATACAGAAATAGAAACAGACTCGCCATTATGATTGAGCTCACTACTACCCCCTACTGGGGAATACTGGCAAGCAGCGATCTCAAACCTCTCGGGATCTCTTCGCACCACAGAGAAAGCGTGAGTTAGAGAAGGCCTGGTCTGGCTAGCTCCCACTCAGTTAGAGCCTTTCCTATAACCGCAGTTTATTAAACTCTACTAGATAATGATGTTTAAATGCGGCCTGCTTCTGCCAGCAGCTAACGGGGCAGCGGTGGTTTGTGGACCCGGAAAGCGGAGGGCAGGCGCTCCGGCACTTACAGAATTTGCTTCCCAGAGCTCCCTGGCGTTAGGAGTAGGCTGGGAGAGATCTGATACGTGCTAACTCGACCATGACCGTGACAAGATGGGAAATTTCCCCAAGAACACAAGAGAGTCTACCTTCTTTGAAAACTCCCCCCCCCCCCTCCACACCATTCACAGTCGACTGAATAATTTATGAAACAGGAGCACAATACCTTGGGCAGAAGGTTAAAGTAAAACGTACACCGCAGGTCTGGGGACCTACAGCACCGATTGTCCTGGGCGGGGAATTCAGAGCTCTCTGCGGGGATACCCCAAGCATGTACAAAGGGCCCAAGGCTCGCCAAAAGCACACAGACAGGCATGCTAAGCCGCCCCAGCGCACCCCAGCAGAGAAGGAGAAGAAAAAGCACAAAAAAAAAATTAAAATCAAAGAAATCACCATCACGCAGCAAAAAGATGAGCGGGCCAGAAACAGGGTCTTACAAATAAACAGCATCCAGAGCACTACGAGTACAAAAGAACAACGAGACTCGGGTGTCAGTCCAACGAAGTCTGAAGAAGCAGGATTAACAAGAATATCACTCAAGAATAATTAAACTGCCTGAACACCTAAGGAGGAAACAACGCCGCGGGCGGGGGGGATGGGGGGCTGGGGCTGTCCTGATCGTCTAGACACAGCGTAACGTCCATTTTGACATTATCCCCCTGCGCCACATCGGGGGGGGGGGGGGGGGGCAGGGTCGAAGGTGTATGAAACTGTAGCGGGTGTCGGATAGTAATCATAGTAAAATCCTCGGGATGTAACGTTAACGGGCTGAGAGAGGGTCCGTTAGCCTCTGCTGCATCACTTATGGGAAGCACCTGTAGGACTGGCTGCCAGCAGCAGCAAAGGGGAACATGTGCGATTCCCCCCCCCCCATTCCACGTGCAGAACCATCCATCAGGAGTGTCAGTGCAGGGGGAGAACACAAGAACGCTGTTATTTCAGCACTGATATGAGGCGCTGCATGACAGAGCTTTCCTTAAGAGGTCTGGACGTTATGCTGCTTTGCCTTGATTTTCCTCTTCAGAAAATGAAGATCATAACAAAACTGGGATTGGTCCAAAAAGGAGTAACGGTGAGTAAATGTTAGGTGACAGTAGGAAGCCTTGGTATTAGGCCAGAATGGGCCGAATCAAACAGACTGTGCATTATTCTGAAACCTGGAATTAATCTATAAATGTTGCTGTTCATTTGCATACCCTGCTTTAAGGCCCAGAATCAAGCTCATTGTATCAACAATGAAAAGGCATAAAATTCAACTAAATGAAGGTTCAACAAAAGGAAAGAAACACGGAAGACGAAATAATTAAAGGAACTTAGAATGGAAACGTCACAAGTGCTGTGCAACAACTGGAAAGAAGAAATTGGAAGAATGGACTAAAAGAAATGCATCAGACAATATAAACTGGATTAGACAGATGGGCAGCAAGGCAGGTAAAATTCATGACAGATGAAGATGTCCAATTAAACGGTGAATCTGGCTTTACTTTCATTTAAAAAGGTGCTCACCCTTCTGAACAAAATGGCTGCAAAAGAAGGGCATCTGATTGGCTATGCCCAAATGCCCTCCTCATCATCCTATTGGTTGAGAGATGACAAGGTTTGCCCAGTGCAGCATGTGATTGAAAGGAGAATTTGGTTAGTTTGAGACAGAGGCGCAAGTCAAACGTTAGGGAATGCCACGTTGGATTACAGTTAAGCTTTTCTCTATCCATGGACTATTTTGGTTAAAAATGGACGAAGACACAGGAAGCTGAAGTACATAAATACGATTAGGTCAAAGATACTGAGTCTCAGAGCATCCAAGATCCTGAACAGAACAGCATGCAAACAGGAAAATATGTTCCCTCACAACCTAATCGTTACCTTGAGAACTCAAAATGAAAACAAAAGGCTTTGCAGTATACACAATCACCACGGCCGTTCTCTTCTGTCCCTGTTAGTTGGCAAATATGTCAAAAAAGAGAATAAGATGGACAGAGAGAGAGAGAGAGAGCGAGAGAGAGAGAGATAGAAAGGACTATCCCGTCTTGGAGTTCCTTTGAAAAGAAATTGGGTAGCATGCTAAAGTAATCCAACTTTCAATGCTGCAGTATAAAAGAACAAACTGCCAGCAATACTGTCCCCTTTCCAACTGGCCTGTAGAAAGAGGTACTTCCATGATTGGCCGACATTTACAATTATTTCGTAGATGCTTCTGTCCAGAATGACGTGCAAGTGAGGATCAGAGAGCAGTCCCAGCTGGCACACCTGCAGCCATTGGGGTTAAGGGCCTCCAACAAGGGCCCAACGGTGATAGGATTACTCTGCCAGCCCCGGGATTCGAACCCATGCCCTTCCAGGCACAGACACAGATCCCATAACCCGTTGAGCTACACACCGCCCTGGTGGTGAGAGCGTGTGGCCGCATCTCCGGGCACTGGGTGTCGGAGGTACTGCACCGTGAAACGAGCGCGGGTCGGCCCGCTGGCAGAGATAGGCCGCCTGCGCTGAGGTCTGGCCGGGCGCTCGGCTGCGCCGGGTCTTACGTTTTATCCATCTTCCCCCCACAAAATGTCACATAACCCTGAGAGGGAGGCGTGTCCACACTGCTCAGGCCAAGAAGAACCAGCTGGGCTCCTCTCTGCTCTGCTTAGATGGGCTGCCAGGTGACATTACTTCAAGTCTATGGGGTATTAGGTACTGCACCATCGCCAAGGTGCCCAGCACCACATTTTAAGGGGGATCCATAGTATACCTGAGGCAGCAAAAGCATAAAACATTAATTATGGCTTACACAGTATTTATTTATAATGTGTGTTAGGCTGTAGTGCTCTGTTGGACCCTGTATTATTTTGTTTTGACTTGTGGTGCTGTGTTTTAATACTGTGTTGTAATACTGTGCTTTATCTTATAGCACAATATCAGTATAGTTAAAAAGAGCGATCCACTGAGCACAGAAATACTCTTACACAGAAAAATGAGGCCTAATTTGTTAGTAAGCAGTTTCACACTCCAATACAGAATTATAAGATGTTATAGCTGTGTATTGTGTGTTTAATAGGTTGTGAAAGACGGAATTTCCTGTTGTGTACCCCTGGCTATAATAATTGTACACATTTAAAATCAAGACATGGCCTTTAGAAATGAAGTAAATATTAAGCACTGCACAAAAACGGACAGATAAAATACACAGAAAGGAGGGAAACGCAAGGGAGAAAGAATTAAGAGAATGAGGAAAATAAAGTAAATGGCAGACAAATGACATACCAACTGTGTGTGTATGCCAGTGAGCCTTTACGAAACCGAGCGATGCAGTTGGTCAGCTGGGCTCTCACCTGATCTGGAGAGGGTTTGTGATTGGTCTGATCGGAATGCGAAGCGGCCTTCAGGTGGTCGTCTTCATAGTTGTCGGCCATCAGCTTCATGCGATTTTGGGTCTGTTGTTGGGAGGGGGGGGGGGGGGGGGGTCTTGGCAGTTGATGGCAGAGTAGCGGAGCAAAGTTGGCATGGGTGAGGAACAGCCAGATGCACGTATCAATATGACAAAGCAACTTGCCTACTGGGCACATCAAAACATAACTAGTCCTAGTTCAAATAAAAGGTAAACAGCCCCCAGTAGGGATCAATACAACCCTTTTTAAAAGAAAATCGACTGTGTGGCTCTCATCAGCTTTAGCTACATTTAATCGTGGGAATCCGTGTTAGAGAAAGACATTTCATAAATGAGTAATACGAGAGCAAAGACAATGGGAGGCATCAGTAAGCTTATACATTCATTGATAAACACTTTAATCTCTAACTGCCAGTCCTTATTTCCAAGAGCAATCCACCAAGAATCACCCTGGTAACCAGCTAGCTGCCGAGAGAGGCACAGTGGACCTCCTCCAACAATAAAATCCAAATTGCCCCTGGTTAATACCCATAATGCACCAGAGAATGTGGAACGTTTTCATTGGCAAGCATGCATCAATCTGACCCGGCAATAAAACAAAATAAATCAATATGAAACAGAACAGAAAGTATTTTTATATATATATATATATATATATATATATATTAAAGTGCAAGCTGTATCCTTCTGCTCAAAGACAGAATATTCTTTTGAAATCTTAATGTGATGGTTGGGCTCCCTCTGTTTAGTTTGCCTGCTCCCCCTCCCCCAAACTGAAACCCACATACCCCAGTGGTCCATCCAAGCTAATCTACCCCCGGTTTGGGATTTGGGGTCCTACTCCCAGCTCTAATACGGTCCACTAGATAAGAATTATGCAGGGAAAACAGCGGCAGACAGAAATTAATCTCATAATGACTTTTAACGCTGGCCGCTTGGCAGCTATCGCTGTTAATTACCTGGCGGGAAATGGCCGCAGTGGCTGAGGGTGGGGGGGGGAGGGGCACAGTGTGACTCCAGGAACCAATATGGTGACATGTGGCAGGATGCCATCCTTCTGTTTGACTGTTACCTCAGGGGCACCTTTAATCTGACCAATGATCACTGAGGATACAGAGGGCAAGTAGTGTCTCGCGCTCATTCGCGCCCTCTACGCTTGTTCAGCCAATGGGAAACGTACTACCGACGGCTGAACGACATCATAGCGTGCTGAAGGAGGACCTCTGGGCTTTGAGAGGGATACTGCTTCACTGAGACACACACACACACACACACACACACACACACACACACACACACACACACACACACGGAGCGAGAGAGATGGGGAAAGATAATACGATGGTCCTGGGGGAGGGGTCACACAGACCCCCAATCAATGACCAGGAGCATCAGAGAGATGACCAATGGCTATGCATAGATACATTACCATTCATGACAATAATATAAAAAAAAGCTAAAGACTAACACTGTTAGCACATCCGCCTTGAGTGCTAGGTTATAGCTTCACCTACTGCGACTCTAAATGGACAGAAAATGCTTCTGGGTGGGGGGGGGAGAAGGTGGGTATGCGAACGCGACAGCTGGGAAAGCAACTCGCAACATCGATGCCCGCTAAGCAGAGGCTGTAATGCTGCAACTCAGCCGGAGTTAGCCCCTGTACCAATTACCGTACCTGCGGGGCAGGGAATCAGCCCAATGAGCCAGATTAAGATCTGGCAGAAGCGTGCTTCCGGAAGCTTAACAGGAACTGAGTTTCCTAGGAACTCAGAGGTGAACGTCTTGTACACGTTACGGCACTATGTGCTTGTAAATTTACCTTTAAAAATTCAGCATCATTATCCCCGAGTCCCACCTCACATAAGACAGTGTGACTTAGGACAATTTGTTCCACATGTTCTGCTGGTTCCCCTGTACAGCCGGGCCATGATCTGGGCTTTGTCCCTGGAAGTCTGGGGCTTAAGCTCTGGGAGTTTTGAGACGTAAAGCCGAGCGCTGGAACAGGTCCGCTGAGAGGCTGTAGGCTTAGGGAGAGCTTTAGCTTGCCTACGTCTAACCCCCCACCCCCTCCCCACCAAACCCCAGCGAACCCCCCACCCCAAAAAAACACTTGCTTCCTCGACTAAAACAAGATCGCTTAAAATAAACACTAAAAACAAACAGTTTTCCTTTGTGGCACCAAAAGTTGGGCCACGCCGCACCTGCAGAAGTCGTCCGTTTCTATTGGCTGGTGATGATGCACTGACCCACGGAAAAGAAAACACATGGCGAAAGAAACTGAAAGAAAGAAGAAGAAGAAAAAAAAACCACACACCCAGCATCTCGTTTCTTTTCCAGAGCGCCCAGGTCAGCCTCAGTAAGCCAAGCGGTCTGGTTGCCGATGACACGGAACGTCGCTCTGGGTCTGGCCGCGTTAATGCGCTCGGCGCTCCAGTTACTTTCGGAAAAGTTTTACTCATGTTCGCGTCTGCGGGGATGGAGGCGCTGGTCACTGGCAGAGCTCACCATGCGCCTTCATTAACCGGCGAGGAGCAGCTGCTGTTAGTGGTAACGGCTTCGCTGTTAAACAATTAAAACGAGCACGATTCAGATCACTGCAATTCAATGGTCTGAGTTATACTATACTAAGTGGTTCCTGTGTATCACTTCCCTGATCCAAAACTTCTGAAACACAACACACTGAGCTCGTTTTTAAGATTCTTTTTCATGCCTCCAAAGTTCCTTAAAGTGACAGGGCAGATTTGAACACATTTTATGCTGATTTTTAAAAACTTAGTAATTCCGGCAAAGCATTCATAATTGCCTTTGGCAATTGCTGTTTGCTAACATACAGACACACAGCCCATTAATTTAGCTAACTGTTTGGTGGACGTGAAGATTACTTAAATTTGATCGTGCCTGAAACGCGGCCCGGCACTGAATGGGAGCCCTTACGTGGCGCCCCCCCCTACTTTGGGTGGCGACATGCTGTGTGGAAACGAGAGCATGCAGACGTGGACAAATTGCTACGAAACACCCATCTGTGCCCTCTGACCCCGACGAGTCCCGTTGACTCCATCCACTGACGTCACTTACTTTCGTTAGCGCGAGCGCCTTAAAAGTGTGTTTTGGCCAGAGACCCGGCAAAACCGCGAGCGTGCCATCACACACTGTCCTGCAACGGAGACCGGCCAAATTCTGGACCAGGGAGCCTAGGCGAGCTCGTTGGAAGGAAAGGCGTCGGGTCGATAAACGAAACCAGAAGGAGCGGGTAGACGGGGCGAGCTGGAGTAGCGGAGCGGGGAAACCGGATCCCACTTCTGTAACCGTGGGGGCTTTTCTCTGGGGGCAAGGTTTATGAACTCCAGGCACTCTCTGAGGCCCGGCGTCAAGGTGCTGGAACAGCGGCGGTGGCGGACTTTTCTCACGAGGAGGCAGGAGTCCTGGGGGAGCGGCATGCGTCTGCCATAATTCGGCCCAGAAGACGGAGAAGTATAAGAAGCACAGACAGCGGGGTTGGCGAGACCCGGTGGAAGGGTAGGGGTGGGGGTAGAGGGAGAGAGAGTGAGATGTTAATTTGGTTACAGAGCTCTCTCACTCTCAGACCCCGTCGCCATCCATCTATAATATAATTTACAGTGAAAGATGATGCCTGCTCTGGCTGGTGGGCAGTGCCCGAATCCGGCCCCTGGCGCAGTGCCAGGCCCCTTCAGGAAGCACAGGACAGGCTCATACAACAAGTCAGGCAAAGTGGAAGCGGACACACAGAGTCGATTTCTGATTAATTAATGAGACAGCAGGGGGAGCGGTGTTAATAATGGATAACGAGCTTTCTCCACATCCTACCGGTTCTCTGCTTTCCAGCCCTGACGGATTCTTGCAGGAGGCCAAGGGACAGCTACGCCAGAACTCTCCTCCCACTCTTGTTCACCCCCCCCCCCCCCCCAGACTTTATCTCCCCTTCGCTCCACAATCTCAGAGCAGCGTGGAACATAATTCACTGGAATGCTGACCTCACTTTTATGGTTTCTGTTCCAACTGTGGAAATCATTTGCTCGGTTAATCTAATCATCCTCACAATTATTTCACTCCTCTACAACAGAGGCCCCTCCACATTTTATATATGCTGAGGGAATAACATCGATTGCTAAAAGTATACCGATGCAAGAGGGGAAAAGTACTTTAAAAAAGCTCATTATGACTTGCCATCAGCAAATCACAAAATTAAGGTGATCAAGGAACCTCTTCTCAGTAAACGCAGCAGGGAATGTCACAGTAGGTTATGTACAGTACTTCAGAGGAAGGCTACTTCACATAGCTTCAGAAATTATCCAGTTATACAACAGCTACACAAAAGTAACCTGAAATTATCTGTTGTCAAGGCTAAGAGGACATGTTAGGCATCTAAATAATACATCAGGAAGGCAAGTAAAGATGTTCTGCGAATTTACGGTTTCCCAAGCAGATTCCGGCAAAATCTCAATTCACACGTGACCTCTGACCTCCTCCCATGTGTTGCCCACGATGTCTCTGTCCCTTTCTCCTGGCCAGAATGGCGGCAGATTTCAATGGCAGCGGATGAATGTCTTTGGCTTTGTAGTACTGTAAGGCGTGCATTCTTCAGCGAGACCTTCTGCTGGCGTGGGAGTGCATGTCGAGCATGCAGGGGGAAGTGACTTTCACGTTAAGGGAGTGGACAGCCCTTCCTGCTTTAGGTCTGGTGTCAGGATGTGGAGAACTTTCTGAGAGAGGCCCGCCAGTCCCAGCTGTCTTGCATGCCGTTTTTGTGCTGGGCAGTAAGGAGAAAATTGTCGTTTCTACTTTGAAGGGGTTGGGGGGGGGGGGGAGTAATCACTGTACTTCTTTGTACTGATGAACCTATGACATGCAACAGACTTCATCTGGTGGACGACGCACAGAGGGGTCTCACACTTCCAATGAGAAATGTGATCCCTACCCATGACAGAAAGACAAGCAGCATCACCTTCCAGAAGCTTGAGATGTAATTAGGGTTGAGCAACCTCGACGTTCTAGGTGGCTTCTAGAACAAGTCTGGGGAGAGACTGTCAGTCACATACCACTCTGACGTCTCCTTCTTTGTCAGAGTAGAAGCTGCTACACCAAGACCGACAACCACCACAGTGCCAGAACATGTGCACACTGATACAGAGCATGTGGTAGCTTCTGGTATCCCGGGTGATGAGTCATCATGGTACGTGATGCACGTATCTGTCCGCTAGCTGAGCGCACGCCTGATGCTGGCTGGCTGTCAGTGCCTTAAGTTACCGGTTTAATAAGGAATTCGATACCCCCATCACGCCTGATGCCCCGCCCCCAGAGACACCTCCCAACCTCCAACACAGCCCGTTGTTGGGTTATGGACCACCAAAATGACATGTTTGCTTTTGCCCACCCCCTCATTTTCCTCCGCAGTTCCTTCAATAACCCCCCCCCATTGGTCCCAGGCACTCAGCTTCCTGTAGGCCCGTCTTGAATTTAAGGCCTGCAAGGTTTTCAAGCACAGTTAGCGGCAGCCTCCTGGGGGCCTGGGGGCCTTATGAGTTTTATTTATTTTTACTCTTTATTATTTATTTTTACAACCTAAGTATTCTCTTGTATAGCCTGTTAAATCTCCGCCGGAAGGCCAGTCTTTTCGCAAACAGGTTGTTTTTTTTTCCGTTTTATTTTCCTTCTTCTCTCGTTACCCAGGAGGCTGCGGGACGGGGGCCCCCTCCACGTGCCCGTCGTCTTGTCTTTTTGAGACGTGGTGGCGGTGGCGACACACCCCCCCCCCCCACAGCTACAGTGGGGCATTGAAAATCTACAGCCCTTTTTTCATCCCAGCCCCCCGCCTGAGGCCTCGCGCGTGTGAAACAGACAGGCCTGTTACAGCTAAACGGCAGCAGAGGTCAGGTAGAAACCGAGACTCGGGGCCCAACACAAACAGGTCGTTTCAGCGGATGGAATTACTGACGCCACTGCAGGGCTTGTGGGAACCGGCACTGGGCTCCGTCTTGAGGTTAGCAAACTGCAAACAAACTTTTTTTTTTTTTTTAAATACAACTCCCAGCTGACTTGATAAAAAGCAACTAGGCTTCAATCACTGTGGGTCACTGCCCTCAGCAAGCAGCTGGGCCTGAGCGATCCAGAACATACAGCCCCCTGCCGCCGCCGCCCCCCCCAGCGAGCTGCCCTCTTTCATGGCACCCTGGTGCTTCAGGTAAGTAGGGTGCTTATTTTACATCGCATGTCATTTATTTGTCAAACACTTTTATCGAAAGTGACATATACTTTTGAGAAAGCAGGGTCCGACTGAATTTCCCAAAGGAGATGAATGGATGGATGGATGGATGAATAAAGGAAGTAAAGAATATATCTATCTGTCTGTCTGTCTGACAGATTGTATCTGTCTGTCAGTTTGTGTATGTCTGTCTATCTATCCGTCTGTCTGTCTATCCGTCTGTCTGTCTGTCTGTCTATCCGTCTATCCGTCTGTCTATCCGTCTATCCGTCTGTCTATCCGTCTATCCGTCTGTCTATCCGTCTGTCTATCCGTCTGTCCGTCCGTCCGTCCGTCCGTCCGTCTGTCTATTCTCTGGAGCAACTGACTTGCTCATAGGCCCAAAGGTGACATCACTTGGAAATTCAAACCGGCACCCACCTGAACACCGACACAGTGCCCTAACCCACTGAGCCCTAACCCACTGAGCCATACACTGCCCCTCCCACCAGACACTATTTCCCAGCTCCTTTAGCCGCAGCCCCAAAACCAGCACGACACGGCAGCACCCTAAAATGCGCAAATGCATGAACGACGACACTGACGGAGGCCAAAGGCAAGGGGGGGGGGATGCGGCGAGCAGATCGGAGAGCCGAGATCCTCGGCGGGAGTGAGCGAGTCTGGCACTTTGACATGCCAGCGCTCCCTGAGGAAGGAGCTAAATATATCCTGTGGCTGGATCAACGTCAGGCTGGGCGGGATGTCACCGAGTCAGGCGGCTCCGCCTCCTCGCCTCTGCTGTCATGGCAGGACGGATACAGGTGCAGCCACACACGGACACAAGCTGACATACGGCGGGCCTGGGAATAGAGGGGAGATCTCGGGGTGATCCATCAGACGGGGGCGTGGGGGACCACCAATCCGGGCAAGGCGGGACAGGGAGGACTCTGTGCGGCCAGGATACCGGCAGGCGTCACGAGACGTTAAATGTGGGGAGGGGGGAGGGAGTAATCATCCGTATCGCACTCGTGAACAATAATGACATCTCGCCTCAATTGGCCATTATGTCCGTTCCTGGGCCTTGGGCATAGCGCCGTCTCACACATGAACGTTTAGACGTAAATTTCATGCATATTATCATTGATGGGGAAGCGCAGGAGCTGCCCAGGAAGGTGAGAGGGGCTGCTGCCGTGAATCAGGGCCCACACGGAAGCTACCGGAAGTCCCCCCACCCCCCCCCATGCAGCCCCAGCCTGCATGGCGAGGGCCCCCCGCTACACTCCAACCCCGAGCCTTATGGTTCAGGCATGATGCATGTCCCCCCCCCCCTCAGCCCTGCTTCTCATTATAAGCTGCAGGTAAAAACACTCCCCTGACCCCCCCCCCCCACCCATGACTTACGGGTGAAATTCAAAAATTTCTACAAGCCCTTTAAGAGTGACCTGATCAATTACTATTCGGCAGAAAAAAAATCGAGGGAAATCGGGGGGGGGGGGGGTTGGTCACCAGCCACCATGATCCAGCACACCTCCCTGGGGGAAAGTGCTGGTCCCCCCAGGGGGTGTGGCTGACTCACAAAAAACATGGTGAGACGGCAAAAGCTACTCATGGGCAGCAGAGTTCATAAATATATGTGTGTGTGTGTGTGTGTGTGTGTGTGTGTGTGTGTGTGTATCTATGTGTGTGTGTGTGTGTGTGTGTGTGTGTGTGTCTGTGTGAGTGAGAGAGAGAGAGAGAGGGAGGGAGGGAGAGCCCACCGTGTCTGCACTGCATATTAGGGAGGAATCACATTCCACAGCTAATTATGCCATGAATCTCAGGCTCTCGATGCACAGCTTGTCTCAATTGTAATCAGTGAGCTGGGAATCTACGGGGCCGCTTTCAAACAGGCTCTCTTTCGCCGTTTCTCCTCCAAGCTTTCGTGCTCCTAATAAACCTTCAGGAGAACATCGGCAGGTATCACGCGGCGTTCTGACACGTCTGGGAACTTCGTCGCATTCAAGACCGGAGAGACGTTATCAGGATGTCTTGTGGGAGGACGGACCGGCGGCTCCTTTGAATCCGGGCCTCTTGTCCCAAAACACCCTGGTTCCAAGCCCTTCGCCCCCCACCTTCGGCCCCCACCCCCCGCTGCAGGTAAAAGCCTTTAAGCCTGCATCACACCACGACTGCCTGCTCTCTTTTTGTTTCCCAGAGGCCTCTTGTGTAGTGAGAATGTACAGGCCACTTGAGGCGGGAGGGTTTGTTGCCATGACGCCCATTTCCTCTGGAATGTGAGTGTGGTCCAACTGATAGCAGGCTGCCAATCACACCGTCAGAAAGGGAGACACCCCAGGCTTGCAGCAAAGGGCTGCAGTAACTTCGAAGGCGCACACAGTGTCTCAACGTAGAGATTTTTGACGAGTGACGGTTTACTTGGATTTTTGTTTTTTGTGTATGTGCATGAGTTTGGACCTCTGACGTTAAGTGTGTGAGTGTGGCTGAAAGTAGATATGTTTACGTGGTTTGTGCGTTTTCCTGTCATGTGCCCATGCGGCTGCGTGCGTCAGGGGGCGTGTTTACGCGCCGGCCTGGGTTTGAGGTGAGCTGGGCCGTGTGTTTGTTTGGCCTGTGAGTGGCCGCTCTGTCTGTGTGTGTGTGTGAAGCGTGTTTGCGTTTTGGTCGTGCGTGAATGCTCGGATCGGTGCTGTAACAGCGTGTGCCTGTGTGTGTGTGTGTGTGTGTGTGTGTGTGTGTGTGTGTGTGTGCCTGTGGACAGTCTGTGGCACTGAGAGGAGGAGCTGAATAATCCTAAAATTACCTTCCGCAGCAGCCCTGTGGCTTGACATCTGCTCCCTGTTACCTTTCGCGCTCTCTCACTACGCCTCTCTGTATGTCCTCCTCCCTTTGGAAATGAGACATCAGCCTCATTGCTCTCAGGCCAGACAGTGAGAGAGATGGAGGACGAGGAGGCGCTGGGGGGGAGGCATGGAGCTGCCCCCCACCCCCACCCCACCCCAGCACGTCTCTCCATCCCTGGCCCACACAAGTACATAACGAATGAGTGCAAAGGGAAACGGGCTGTGTGGGGGGCAGCCTTGGAAGGACCCGAGTCCATAACCAATGGTGAGTCCCAAAGGCAGCCGGCAGCCTATCAGCAGGCAGCGCTGCGTGATAGGGACCCAGGTAGGCTCACCTGCTGCTTTAGCTGCTGCACCAAGCGGTCCTTCTCTCGCTTCAGCAGGGCCACCTCTTCCTGCGTCTTCTTCTTCTTGGAGGACGACAGCTCCAGGAGGGCGATATTGGCATCCTTCTCACTGATGGCAGCCAGTAGTGCCTCCTGTCTGTTGGGGGGGGGGGGAAGGGGTCAGTGCGGGCACGGTTTACCCTGAGGCGCCGTCCCCCACCCAGAACTGCTCGTGCGGGAATGCCAGACGGCCGCAGGTGGACGACCTCAGCTCGATAAAATAAAAGTCTTAAAAAAAAAAACATAAGGGGCAAAATGAATGATGCTATTAAAGGGATGGGCATAAGGAACCCGCTACCCCGTGCCCACGCGTGATGCCCACCGCTGCGCCACGGGGCCCCGCCCCAGCTTGGCAGCGGATGTGGAAACAGACGCGCCACCTGATTAACGGCTGATGCCTTGGAACCTGCCGAGAAGCCACATGACGAGATCCAGAGTGGCGGCGGGGGTGGGGGCCCATGCTGACGGGGGCGGGGGCCCATGCTGGAGGGGCATCGCAAGCGGAACGTGACGCAGGCGAGATAGTGAAGCCTTCAGCAGCACAGCCCTTGAGCGGGTGACTTTTGCACGTTGACCTATAGGTGCGACCCACTCCGATTACAGACAGTGCAGCTTTGAGTGCACCCCCCCCCCCCCCCCAAAAACACATACACGTACGCAAACCACCCCACCCGGATGCAAGGTGTACGTACAAGCCAGCTGCCACGGCCAAGATCATTATGCATGGCTTTTTAATGGCAGGTAAACAAGCTGAACAGAGTGACCATTATTTTGCCTCAGAACATGTTCACATCAGAGTTATTTAGATGCGGGGGGGGGGGGGGGGGATTATTTAACCACAAGGCTGTTTGACTTGCTACACCATTGAATGAGGCAGGAGCGTGGCCACCCACCACCGGAACCGGAGGCCTGAGGGGGGCAGGCCGGAGAGGGAGGGGGGCCTTCCCATCAAAGAGCTGGATGCCATGGTGTTCCTGTAGGAAGGGCCGTCTTAAGGTTCCCTTAACGCCTCAGCATGTTAAATGAGGAAAATGCTTCCAAATGCCCTGAGTGCCCCTCAGCTGATGGCTGGGGGCGGGAATCAGGTTTGAGGTGGGCGGTCAATGCAGGTATTCCAGCTCAGGAACAACAACACTGCTTGCAGTTCTCACCACCCACCACACAGAGACAAAATGGCAAATAACCCTAAAGTTAACACCCTAAACCCGGTTCAACAGTTCCAGTCATGGGGGCCTAGTTTGAAAATTTCCCTGCTCAAAAACACCTTATTCAGCTAATTGCCAGGTTTACAAGGTGTGTTTCACCCCTAAATCCTCACTCACCCAGTCAGCAGAACCGAGGCCCTGAACAAACAGCCTGGATACTTGCAGACAGGCCCGTGACCAAACGAAAGGCCCTCTACACCTGTGAACTCAACACCAACTGAACAGCTGAACACCGTCACAGCAGAGGAGGAATGTGACCGGAGGGCAAAAGCACTGCCGACAGATGTAGAAGCGCCCGGTTCCCAGTATAAGGTTAAAGGTCAAAGAGCTTCAACCTCTACAGGTAGCTGGCTAATCAATAAAAGAAAATGTCATGCGGTAGTCTGGGGAGCTTCCTGCTTGCCATAGGAATCTGTAATTGGCCCAACCATAGGTCTTCTTGCAGAGCTCTTCCATCTTCTATCTATTTCAGGAAACCTTCAGTAGGGCTGATCTGGAGCAGAGGCTATTCCGTTCCTGTGCAGCATAACGATGCACATTTGTGTGGAGAGACTCACAGCCATATTATCACCCCCTTCCGTTAAGCCAGCGGGTCCAGGGACACCGCACAGAATCCCAGGAATCCTGACACTCTGAGAGGGGAGGGCACAGGGGAAGATGCTATGAACAAAACAGAGATGAGGGAAATACCTTGTTAAGTGGCTACGGAGAGTCACACACAAGGATCGGATGGCTAGTCTCTCAGCAGAGAAGAATGACGATTTGTGGTCGGCTTGCTTTCAACACTTGCAATTCCCGGGTCTGCAAGATGGTGGTCCATCTATGCGGTTTGGGGAAGATCCCTGGCTTGGACTAATCACCACTTTAGGTTGGGTGTAGGATTGGGGACAGATTTGAGATTTAAGGCAGAGACAGGCGGGAAAAGTAGGGATGTGTGACTGGAGAAAGGGAACTGAAGGATGTGGCCAGTAACATCTCCGCACACGTGAACCCAAGCAGACGTCAAAGGGCCGCAGGGGTCAGGACCACAGCTACGCCTTCTGGATGCTGGCCTGAGTCTTGCTCCTCACCTTCACCCATTTTACACCCTCCCCCACCCCATGACCTACATGACCTCCACCCTGTGGGTCATTTCCTGGCAGAGACTTGAATCACACATTCAAAGGAGAAAAACAAAACCTCAAGGCTACAAATTCACCTCCTCTTACTCTCACAGCCATGGACTTTGGGATGGCCAATTGCTCGGCTCGCTTCGCTAATGGATCTACTGAAAGGGCAGCACCAGTCCAACCAGAAATGCAGCCATAAATTTCTGACTGGTTAGAACTGCCCGGGTGTGACCCGTTGGAACCAAAATGACGCCACAGTGGGCACAAAGAGGTTAAAAACAGCTCATCAGCTGCACAAAATTAACTGTCCATCCTATCTGACACACTACAGTTTGGCACATAAATATAATATATGGGGCAGACGTGTTAAACAAACGGAGCACTGGACGCCCCCCAAAACATAAAAAATAATAAGGCAGCTTTTTCTCTTTATCCGCTGGCAGGAAGCCACGGCTCGCTTTTCAGAAAGTGTGTTTCGTGCAGCAGATGTGCGGCGAACGGGGGCAGCGGGGGTGAGCGTTACAATGCAGCGATGGGCCCAGACAAGCTGAGTTTTGGTGCCGCCAAATAAGACCGCGAGCGACGCTTCGCCTGCCGTTACCTGGCTTGTAGGACCATTTGACCGCTCACCCGAATTCTCACAGGTGAATTCAGCGTGCGTCTTGTTGTGTAAAGAGCGATTTCATAACGGTAAAAGGAAGAGGCTATCAAACATTAAAGCAGCCCTGCATCCCTAGAGGAGAACCACGCTCCAGATTTTTTAAATCTCAAATTTATATTATTGCTCTTAAATGAGATCATTATTTGGATATGAGGTTACATCACCTGTGTCTATAGTGGCTCCTTAGCCTACAATCTGAACGCCACCTGCACAACCTGGGCCCAGTCTGCATACTCAGCAAGCGCCAGTCAACATGTCGGCCAATTACTCACTCGATCTGGGGGGATGGAGGGCCCCATAGCGCCTCTGAAGATCATCAAACATACAGGAGCTTATTCAAACAAACAAACAAGTACATCTCCAACCATGATCCACAGCTGAGAATTCATTTAAGGAGCCCTCGACCGATGAGTATGAAGAAGGGACTCTTTTGGAAAAATGGACGGGGCCCACTGACAGTTTGGAGTGATCTTCTGGGGTGGTGGACATCACAGGAATGTTAATGAGAGATATCACCTGCGCCTTGCTGTAGCACCAGGGGATCCACGCTGGCAGCAACTCCTAGGCGGACTCTATGCCAAGACGACAGCGCTGATATGCCTGTGGAACAGCAGCCAGCATGATGGCCAGTGGGGGGTGGGGGAGGCTACATCCCAGGGGAGCTTCCTGCTTATCGACCCCCTTCAAGCTCTCAGCAGTCAGATGGCCCATCCTTAATTACCTGCAGCAGTGAGTGCCAGGAAGCAGCAAGATAGAGCTAAGTGCCTGATTCTATGGCACTGGAATGAGAAGGGGTGGGGGGGAATCCCACCAAACCAGCCTCGAGGGACAACCGGCTTCACATCAGCTGGTGAGGGCAGGATAGTGACACCCCAGCAGGAGACACAGGGTCAGAACGTGAAGATACACGGCTGAAAGCCGTCGCTCATCGATTAAGCCGCTCCCAGCCTGAGATCAGAATGCTTACCGGACCCACCCTGACCCCCAGCTGGCCAGATGATGAGAAAATCAAATCATCTTTGTCCTTGAACCGCACCTTTTTCAATTGTGTTTGGCAGAAATCGAACTCCTTTGCTGCTGATACTCATTCATCAGTCATACACATCAAGAAGAACCAGGTAACGTGTCTCCGCTGATCACAGCTTAAAGAAAACAGACACGATATCCAAGAGACATCGGGAATAATAGCCGAGTGTGTGTGAGGGGGGAGAGCACTGGGGGAGAGTGAGAACAGTGTGATCAGGAGTGGTTCTTACACATCTGGACTGCCGGTATACCTCAGCACACACTTGCCGGCCACCCACTGTCACAGCGGTTCTGTATAAACACACTAACTCTCTTTCTCTAACACATAAACACAGACACATATAAACACATGTACAAAACAAAGAAAAATGCACAAACACATACAGATGCATAGTCCAAACAGACTTAACAGAGATGCCCCACCAGGGCATGGGCTCCATCGGGGAGGTAAGCGGTGGTGGGTTGTGGTGTCAAAGCCCCGGACCGCCGCGTGTGTGCGGCCACTGACATAAGCATGGAATGAAGCTCACATGGAGTATGGCGACCACAGGCTTTTCGCGGCCTGGAGACGCCTCTCCACCCAGAGCAGAGCCGTCAAAACTGATATTTGCAAGTACGCAAATAAAAAGAACCCAAACAATTAAAAAATAACGACCTCATTTGGGGATTTGATTGCGTCACTGAGAGTTCAGATGAAAAGACGACTGCATAAAACGGCCTGTTTATGGGCGTCACACAATAGGCGAGAGAGCGGACCGCAGACCAAAATAAGGGTCCCCTGGCGAATGTGTTTACTCACAGACCCGTGTTGAGCAAGGCCCGGCCACATGGCAACACTACCCAAATACTGTCGGCTTGCCACACAACACGAA